GGAGGAGGAGGAGGAGGAGGAGGAGGAGGAGGACTGTAGGATCCTTGGTGCCCTCTGAGCTTGGTTTTTGTCTGGCAGATGTTTCATTACCCAGCTAGCTAACATCATCAGTGCTAGAAGGGAATAAAATTTGCTCTCTGTTTAGTTACAAGTGGCTTGTCCTGTCAGTGTTGTCGCTATTCTTCTAGATCTAAACATCCGGCTGAGTGTGTGACCACCCATAGCAATAATAATAATGGAGAAAATCACAAAATCAAAAACCTGCAAATAGAAGTAGAACGACCGTGGGGAAAACGCCCCAAAGATAGCCCCCTACACTCATAGGCGCCCTGGGTGCAATCCCAAAACATGTGGAGGACCGCTTGAACACCATCGGCATTGACAATAATCCCCCGTCGGTCAATTGCAACAGGCAGTTTTGCTTGGAACAGCTGACATCCTGTGAGGAAACCTTTAAGATTAGTAAGCGACAACGTCTGCCTATCTCAGATCCTTGGGAAGGACTCGTGAGGTGGACAAAAACGCCGGATACAGTCTCAACATCTGGCTGACAGTGCCACTAACCGTAACAGTTTCCGGGCTGCCTGACTCCTAGTGTCCCTTGGAAATTAGTGATTTTCACAGCAACATGCATGAATATTTAAGAGATATAGCACCCTGCTGCTTCCAGATCTCTGCAGAACTCAGCATATTAACAAACACCATGGAAATGAGAGAGAGAGAGAAAAAATCTCTAGGTGGCCCCAGGAACAGAGGAGCTTGTTGTTGTTGTTAGTTGCGAAGTCGTGTCCGACCCATCGTGACCCCATGGACCACGTTCCTCCAGGCCTTCCTGTCCTCTGCCATCTTCTGGAGTCCATTGAAGCTCGCGCCTACTGCTTCAGGGACTCCATCCAGACACCTCCTTCTCCGTCGTCCCCTTCTTCTTCTCTTGCCCTCCATCTTTCCCAGCATCAGGCTCTTCTCCAGGGAGTCCTTCCTTCTCATTAGGTGGCCAAAGGACTTGAGTTTCAACTTCAGGATCTGGCCTTCTAAAGAGCAGTTGGGGTTGATCTCCTCCAGGACTGACCGGTTGGATCACCTTGCAGTCCAGGGGACTCGCAGGAGTCTTCTCCAGCACCATAGTTCCAAGGCCTCCATTCTTTGGCGCTCGGCCTTTCTTAGGGTCCGACTTTCACAGCCATACATTGCAACTGCGAAAACCATGGCCTTGACTGTACGCACTTTTGTTGGCAGGGTGATGTCTCTGCTTTTTAGTATGCTAAACCCAGTTACCCAAAGCTGTCTTTCCATTTGGGTGCTCAGGGTCAACTTGAACGCAGGGTGTCTGCAACGGAGGGTCCAAAACATCAAGAGGGCCGTTGCAACAGCCTGATCCCAGTTCCCCCCCCATTTTGGACGTGTTTTGGGGGCTCCTTCACTTTGGACCAGACCCCGCGGACACCTCGCTTGAGTGGGAAGTACAGAACAGAACCCAGAACCCGCTCTGCAAAATTCCTCTTTTGTATAATCGAGCTGGCCAGCCTTTGATGCCTCCGCCGAAACTTTGGCTCCGTTTCCACTAAGAGGCCACGTGTCAGCTTGAGCCTAAGCTGTGTATCTTTGTCTAAGCTGCAATCCTGGTTTATATTTAGAGCAACGGAGCCAGCCGCAGCCGTGTGGGCTGAATCCCCCTGGCTCAATCTGGCTGGCGCTCAGGACGTGAAAGATTAACTGGTCTTCTTGGAACAGGCATCCTTGGTCAACCCGATGCCCTCTCCATGACCTGGGCAGCTCTTCCTAGGACCCTCAGCCCACGTGGCCACTGGACGTCCCCTGCAGGGCTGGGGAATGAGGGATAGGAGGCCAGAACTGGGTTTTCTGAGCATGTCACGAGTTCCAGAGACACAGCAGAAGACCCCCCTCGATGGGTGGGGTTGAGGAAACTTCTGCTGCAGCTGGCTTCTGGGATTGGGCAGGCTGAACAGGGCAGAATAACAGAGCTGGAAGGGAACTTGGAGGCCAACACAGTGCTGGGCTGCATTAACAGAGGGATAGAATCAAGATCACGTGAAGTGTTAATACCACTTTACAATGCCTTGGTAAGGCCACACTTGGAATACTGCATCCAGTTTTGGTCACCACGATGTAAAAAAGATGTTGAGACTTTAGAAAGAGTACAGAGAAGAGCAACAAAGGTGATTAGGGGACTGGAGGCTAAAGCATATAAGGAACGGCTGCTGGAATTGGGTATGTCTAGTTTAACGAAGAGAAGGACGAGGGGGGACAGGATAGCAGAGTTTCAGTATCTCAGGGGCTGCCCCAAAGAAGAGGGAGTCAAGCTACTCTCCAAAGCCCCTGAAGAAGGCAGGACAAGAAGCAACGGAGGGAAACTAATCAAGGAGAGAAGCAACCTAAAACTAAGGAGAAACTTCCTGACAGTGAGAACAATTAACCAGTGGAACTACCTGCCTCCAGAAGCGGTGAATGCTCCAACACTGGAAGTTTTTAAGAAGAGACTGGACAGCCATTTGTCTGAAATGCTATAGGGTTTCCTGCCTGAGCAGGGGGTTGGACTAGATGACCTCCAAGGTCCCTTCCAACTTTACTATTATTATTATTATTATTATTATTATTATTATTATTATTATTATTATTATTATTATTATTATTATTAACCCCTTGCTCCAAAGGCAGACCTTATACCATGTCACACAAGTGACTGTCCAATCTCTTCTTGAGAGCCTCCAGTGTTGGAGCATTCACCGCTTCTGGAGGCAGGTAGTTCCACTGGTTAATTGTTCTCACTGTCAGGAAGTTTCTCCTTAGTTCTAGGTTGCTTCTCTCCTTGATCGGTTTCCACCCGTTGCTTCTTGTCCTGCCTCCAGGCGCTTTGGAGAATAGCTTGACCCCCCCCCCCCCTCTTCCTCATGAAAACCCCTGAGATGTTGGAATTCTGCTTCTTGTCTATCTTCTCCAGAACCTTCAGGAAGTTTTTGGAAGTCCGGGGAAGACTCAGGAAGATGCCCTGCTTATTCCCAGGAAAGCCCAAATCAGATTCTTAGGAGATGAGATGGCTGGGAACAGCCTGGTGATCTCAAGACAACCATCTTAGGATTCATCTTATATCCTCCAGGGAAGGTCCTCAGAAGCCTGTGATCATCATCATCATCATCAACGTCATCATCATCATAATAATAATGTTGGAAGGGACCTTGGAGGTCATCTAGTCCAACCCCCTGCTCAGGCAGGAGACCCTATACCATTTCGGACAAAGGGCTGTCCAGTCTCTTCTTAAAAACTTCCAGGGTTGGAGCATTCACCGCTTCTGGAGGCAAGGAGTTCCACTGGCTAATTGTTCTAACTGTCAGGAAGTTTCTCCTTAGTTCCAGGTTGCTTCTCTCCTTGATGAGTTTCCACCCGTTACTTCGTGTCCTGCCTTCAGGGGCTTTGGAGAAGAGCTTGACTGCCTTTTCTCTGGGGCAGCCCCTGAGATACTGGAACATTGGCTATCATGTCCCCCCTCGTCCTTCTCTTCGTTAAACTAGACATTCCCAATTCCAGCAACTGTTCCTTGTATGTGTTTCAAAGTTGGCATTCAGGGCCCACTCTGGGCCCTTGCGGTGGCTGATTCCAGATTTTAATCATGGATTGGATTGACACTAAGACCCCCTTCGGCTCTCTTGAGCGCTCCAGGTGTCCCTTCCACTCACCTGGACAATGGCTTTGGAGCCGGCCACCTCCAGCACCTGCCCGCTCCGACGGGTGCCGTTTGGGAGGGTGAAGTTGACGATCTCTGCATACTGGGCGAACTGCAAGAGAGACACAAAAGGCAACTGAACCCTCACAACTCTCAGCTTCTCAACCCCTGGCAAAGTTTGGGGAAGGGTACATGAATGTACACCTGCCTGCCTGTCCAATCTCTCTCTCTCTCTCTCTCATCTATCTATCTATCTATCTATCTATCTATCTATCTATCTATCTATCTATCTATCTATCTATCTATCTATCTATCTATCTATCATCTTTCTGTCTCTCTCTCTCTTTCTCTCTCTCTCTCATCTATCTATCTATCATCTGTCTATCTATCTATCTATCTATCCCTCTATCATCTCTCTCTCACACACACACATACACACACACTCTCATCAAATCTATCTATCTATCTATCTATCTATCTATCTTTCTCTCATCTCTTTCTCAATCATATCTATCTATATCTATGATATCTATCTATCTATCTATCTATCTATATCTATCTATCTATCTATCTATCTATCTATCTATCTATCTCTATCCCTCTATCATCTCTCTCTCACGCACACACACACACACATACACACACACTATCATATCTCTCTCTCTCTCTCTCTCTCTCTCTCTCTCTCTCTCTCTCTCTCTCTCTCTCTCTCTCTCTCTCTCTCTCTCTCTCTCTCTCTCTCCACATAAGCTAAAAGACCATCTCAGGGTGAGCAACAGTGAGACTGTCCTCCCTACAGTTTACTCAGAGATCAGTTTTCCTTTTCAGTGAACTGGAAACAAAAATTCAGAGGCGCAGCCTCT